CAAATAAGTATAAAGATAATAAACACAATAATTAATAATAAATGATTAATAATATTCTGGAAAGTTCCATGATATTCCGGGAGGTTCCGGGGTGTTCCACAAGGTTCCAAGAAGTTCCGAAGTATTCCAGGATGTCCCAGGGGTTTCCGGTCACATGGTATGTGGCGCAGTAAAAGTGGAAAAATTGTTACATCCAGCTATTTTCCTCCTATGCAAGTTTTATCTTATATTATTATATTTTTTATTTATTATTATTAATTTCAATTAAAATATTTATTTATTATTAAAAAAATAAGAATATATATTATTATATTAATTTATTTCAAAAATAATTACCCAGCTTTAAACTATTTAAATCTTATCTCAATTGTATTTATTATAAAATAGATACAATTATTGTTTTTTAAGAATGATTAAAATATTCAGATATTTTAATATTTTTTATCTAAAATTTTATAAAAGATAAGTCACTCTTTGTTATTATTTGTAACTTCAAATTATATTATATACATATTCAAAGTATCTTTTTCTTTTAAGCAAGTACTGGATTGGAATAGTTTTAGACTAAAAAGTTTTTTATATAATGAAATCTACTGTTGCTAATTTGAATTTGTGTTAATAAGTTTATTATTAAAGTTAGATCAAAAGTTTTTTATTATGCAATCTTTTTTATTTCAATCTGTTTACAATTTACAATTATTTAAAAAATCAAAAAATCTATTTTTATATAAATTAACTAAATTTAATTGTAATTAAAATTTGAAATATAATATATATATATATATATAATAATTATAAGTTATTTAAGTTAATAAAAATATATTATATTTATCAAAACAATTAATTGTATACTGTATATTAGCATAGAAACAAATACTTTAATAAAAATAAGAGAATAAAGATAAATAAATAAATAGAAAATATTATAGAATAACAATAATATAAAAAGTATAATATTAAACCATAATTAAAACAGTAATATAAAGATTATTCTAAAATAAATAAGATTTAAGAATAAATAATAACGAAAATTAAACAAGAATTGATAAAGATTTTAGGTAAAAATCAAATATAATTATATATAATTATCATTATTTTATTACTAATCTATATTAAACTTATAAATTTATAAGTTTGTATTATAAACTATATATTAAATTTTATTAAAACAAAAGTAAATTTATATAAAAAACATATAAAAATATATAAATTATTAACTTAACTATATAATAATAATAATTATTATTATTATTATTTTAATAAATATTAAATCATATTATATAATAGAAATTATTATCAAAAAATTTTTTAAAAACTTATATAAATTAGTAACTATATACTATTTTATACAAATTATTCTATATACTATATAAAAATTCCAATTATTTGATTTAATTAAATTCTTGATTTTTAGATTTATATGAAATTTAATATATAGATTATAATTCATTATTATTTTTAATAGTGTTTGAATCAAAAAAACTCTTTTCCATACATAACTTTTTTTAAAAAATTTTTCTTTTTTAATAATTATCTTTCAAAATTAAAAAAACAAGTATTTTTTTTGTTTTTTAACATTCCAAAGTCCTTTACACATTCTTTACCTTCACTACAAAAACCTTAAGGAAATTAAAGAAATATATTGATGTATCAGAATAAAACTTCTGACCAAAGAAAACAAGTTTGGAAACTTTGTTTTTTCTTTGGATTGTATGAGAAAAGGCCTATAGCTATTACTTTTTTATAAATATTTCTTGAGATTTTTTTTATTTGCACTTTTTACAAATATATATTTTTTATTAAATAAACATATTCTTTTCTTGAAGATTTTTTTTGCAGATTAAAAAACAAAAATCACATACTAAAAATATTTATATTGTTGACTTGAAGGATCAGCAATATATTTATTATTTACTTTTTACTATTGTTTAGTATAATTTGCTATGTCACAAAAAACACAAACCTTTTTTTTAAAAAATTTTCACAAAAATCACAACCAGTTTATTCTTATTAATTAATTAATATTTCAAAACCAATTAATCAAATACTATCAATTATTCAAACAAATTTGTACTATCAAAATACCATATACTAATTAATATAAACAAAATCTTTTTTGTTAACAATTATTAAAACAAGATTATATTATCAACAAACAAATCAATTATACTATCAATAAACAAATCAATTACTAATTATATTAATAAAAAAACAATATAATTATTACAACAAATTGACTATCAAAGAAATATATTATTAATACTACTATATATTTTAAACAATAGCCTAGCCATTTGTAATAAGTATATACAAATATCATTTACTTAAAATAGTTTGATGTTAATTTAATTAACTATTTTTAATTATTGATACAGTATTTTATAATCAAATAGCTTTAAACATTATCATAAATAATTAAACAAAATTTAAACAAATTTCAAAATCAATTATTTATCACTTAATTTAATATTTATTTATAATAATAACGGTATCTTAATTAATATTATAACAATGAAATTTATATTTTTAATTAGTATTGGTTTTTTTATTATAATCTCTTTTATTATTATTATTATTATTTATTTGTTTTTTATTTGTTTATTTTCTTTTAATGTTATGTTTTTTTTAATATTTTTTTTTAAAAAAATTTATTTAAACAATAAAAAAATCACGAAAACGTTTTTTATAATGTACAAATTGATTTTATATAAAAATTATTTTATTTTTTTATTTGATAATAAAGAAATTTTCAAAAATTTTTGTATTTTTTGTAATATATGTTATTTTAATCAAAAGATTAATCAAGTGACTTAAATTTTAATAAAGTTTTTTTTTTTTAAGTAATTTTGGTTTTTATTTTACAAATTAATGAATTAAAATTATTATAAATAATTTCAAAAAATATATATATATATATATCTTTTAAACACATTGTATTTACAGCATGAAATTTGGTTTTTTCTTTCTCACATGTATGTGTATATATTTTTATTATCGAAAAATCTTATACGTAATATTTTAATCTCTTGTTATTTATACTGTATATTGTATACAACGTTGATATTGTTATTTCGTGACCTTAAATTAATATATATTTTTCTTTCAAGATACATAATGATACTTTTTGTCAAACGATAAGTTGACAAAATATCAAAACCATTTAAAAATCCAATCTCATATGTGACACCAAATAAAAGGACTATAGTAACCTTGTGTTTGTGTACGTTCCATCTTGTTTGATTGAGTTGTATGAAAAAACTCTATGTTTACGCCATCCAATAGTTTACTAAAAAGATTGAATTGAATCATTGAACCTATAATTTTCTCCGTGTCAAACGTGCGCGCATACATAAAGTGAAAATTTAGGTTCTACAGTATTAGTGTTAGGTGTTCCGGTTCGGTGATAACAAACAGTTGTGATTCTGTGATTCCTTTGAAAAGCAAATATTCCTGGCATCTGATGCATGGACAGACACCAAACATTGATGGAGCCATAGAAAGAGGTGACAACTCAATAACGCTTGTAGGATTCCCGCGGGCTTAGCTATCTGGCCAATTTGAACGACTGATTGATTGATTGATTGATTGATTACACGTACGTGCGTGTGTACGTAATTCCACTCACGCGTTCGAAGAACAAACTACCTTATCAAATCACCTAACATTTCAGACCTAATTTAGTAAACAGTCGGTCACGAGTTCCTTAAATTACATCATGTATTTGGACGTTCTATGTTCTCGATCAATGGTCATTGAAATGAACATCCTGATTGGTTCCCGTTGCGAGAATTTCAATTTTCATAAACATTTTTGGCTAATCCTATCTTTTCAGAGAAATCTATGATAAGTGATGGTTAATAAAAAAAATCAAAAAAATGTATCGTGATATTCAACCGAGATATGATCGGCACCACAAAATTCATTTACTTTTTCGTACAAGATTTACAAACTCTGACAATAAAGGATTGTTAGCATGGAATTTGAACCAAACATGGCTAAAACGTCCTCACATTCGCGAAAGAAAACTGCTAATGACGTAAAGTTTTTACTAAAAAAAAAAGAAAAATTGATCACACGTATTATTTGTGGCCTTTGCTTGTACGTTATGTAATCAGTTTGCTTCCCACATACAAAAGTACGCACGTACACGATGCGTCGTTTCATATGTAGACCAAGTTTATTCCAGCATTAGTAAACACACCACATTTTTCACTTACACTGGGAGCTTCCCGTCTCTTTATCCCTGGAACGATTGTTTTTCTTTGTAGGAAAAAGTTCTTTAAAAGGGATTCACAATCATCAGATAAATCCATGTATAAGAATTCTTTAAGAGGGATTCCTTGTGACAATTGCTTAGGGAAATTATTTTAAGGTTTCATTCTTTCTTTGTGTGTTCTTGAATTGTAGTGGTACACACGTTACGACCGTACATATTGTATTATCGCTCCTTCTGACCAGTTATTAAAGTTCGTACATACTGTAATAGACATATACCGAACTTATGATGTGTGTCTACGCATTATCACATTATTGGGTTACCCGAAAAAAAAAAAAAACAAACAGGCCAAGCCTTAATTCTCGAGGTCATTAAGACTTTTACGTCAAAAAGAAATCAACAATGAAGTAATTTTACCCCAATATTCACACATATATCTACACATTACGCAGACTGAGAGGCTTGTTAGGTGATACTCGCTAATTTGGGATGTCATTGGCAAACGGATTGTTCATCGAATCACGGCATGTTCAATTGCCCGAATGCTTAATATGACCACGATCGAGGCTTAGACATTCCTTTTCGTCATTTGGAAGAATCTTTTTGGATGATCACGCCTACCACATTTCGCCAAATATTGTTCTTCATAAAGAGATCTGCATAGATTTTCCTATTTTGTTCGTGCATACATACAGATTACTATTAATTGGCGAGAAGAGGCTTGATTCGGTTTTTTTTGAACCGAGCAATTGTTTATGTGAAAAGGGTGAGGGTAGATGTTGCACCAACTTTTCATGATTTACACACGTACTATTTTAAAAGATGGGCACAAAATTTGTAAACACGAGATTTTTGAAGTTCCCCGACTCGGGTCGTACACCATAATGAATTGTTCCTTTTTAATATTACCTTTTATGGTTCGACACCGATTTTAAGTGAGTTTTAAAAAAAATTCACACCAATTGCAGAAATCTCACACACGCACACCTTGACGTGAATAAAAATGGATGATCACGATGGTGATAAGAAGGTCATCGGAAAATGCCCATTGATGGAGTTTTCGACGACAGGTATCAGGTGTCAAATTAAGGTACAAGGAAACTTTATTGTAAAATCCACACACAGCACATACATCTCACATCACAGTCCACGTTATAATCACAAATATAAATACACACGCATATAATCTATTATTAATGTGAGGTGCCTAAGTGTTTGTTGTTGTCTCCCCCACTGTTTACCTCCATATTTTCTTGTGTAAATATCGACACTGTTTATATGCCGCTTCCTAACGCATGGATTGTGATGACGACAAAGGTCGATTTCAATTATTGTTGAGAATATAGAACAATCCTTAGGATCGAAGAATATTATCAACGAATGTGAAACGTGTGTGTTCTAATGATGGATCTCAATGGTGTATTTCAATGGTGTATCGGTCATTCTTACAGAGGAGGATCGGTAAAGGTGCACTAATGATGTGAGATTCAACGGCAACAATTGGTGCCTATAAGAAAATTGAGTGGACTAAAGATTTCTCATTCCAAGATTGCGACGAGTGTTGAACACCCGTAAGTGATAAAAAAAAAAATGGGTTAACAGAGACGGAGGCATGTCATGAATTCATGGTCAGGCACGAGATCGCGTGTGCTTTACCTACGTACTGTATGTGCGTACTTTCATTAATGCCGGTTTGTCAGTTAGGAGAGGAGGTAAGGGTTCTCGGCGGGAAAATCATCCGACGAATGAAAAGTTTTGCATACAATCAATACACATTGTACAGTACACACCAAATTTATTTGTTCACACAAAACACCATATCCTGTAAATAATTACACAAAGTAAACAAATTAAGTCGACGTGCGAACCTCCTTTTGGTTGGTTCCACAACGAAGTTAATTTTGTGATCAAGGAAAGGTTTAGCGTGAGATGTGGAAATAACGATGGAACTTGCTCACCAACTTGATGTGATTTGTGTGACCTTGCACGGGACACTTGGACATGATGGAACGTAACACCCGATGGCGTGCATCGATAAACACCAATGATCAAACGGGGACATTGATCTAGACGATTCCGACCTTTCGAGGTCGTCAGTTCGATTAATCACGTACCCGATGTGGCTAATCATTATCGTTACCTGAAAAAGTCACCTTTTGTAAGGGGTGGGGGCGTTGCCATTGATGAAAAAAAGAAAATAACAATGACATGGATTTCATGCTGTCGATTGTTTGAATGCATCAAGTGTTGGTCGTTCCACGCAACCGAATGCGGGAAACGCGATGTTTCTTTTTCTTTCTTGGTATCAAGCGACAAGTCTAACTTTTTCGGAATTGTATGAATCTATGGGGTTGAATGAGTAAATGTTCGTTGTCTCCCAGTGGACAATTCGGGAAAATGCGACCCTTGTCTCGTGAATGTGGCATACTGCCGGGGGTGTATGCATTTGAGGATGATCACTGAAATTTTTAATAGCTTATCATTCCCAAATTTCATAAAGTCAACGATTGACATGGTTTTGGTGATTCCATGTTTGATAAAGAAACTGATCTTTTATCATTTCGATTAAATTGATATGCTATTGTACATCAGCACATCAGGATTATGCACAGGTTTTTTATGCGTGCTGAAAGCGATAGAGCAAGTACGAACACACAAAAGACGTGGATATTACATTGTGTGCGTGAGTTGGCCGTAAAAAGTAAATGTTTACCTTACCAACAAAATGAATGTCACGTTCTTTCGACATCCATCTGTTATAAAAGGTATTCATTCAACGTGAAATCTACCCCCCGAAATTCAAGCAAATAAATCTGTATTCCTCTTTATTAAGTTTGGATCAATGTTGAGCATAACATCGGTGACTGATCCATAACCTAAAAGGATGACTTTCAAGCATAAATGAACCAGGTGACAAAGAAGAGATTAAATGTGTAAACATGGCTGCATTCATATTTGATTAAGCGTGAAGACACATTCCCTGCGTTCCTTGAGAAAGATCTTGATGATTCGATCGCACAATGTTATCCACTCAAGCAATCAATCATCTATTATTATTATTATCATGCAATGAGGCCCAACGCATCATAATTTTTAATTCTAGTTTATTGTCGTAGATAAAATCTAGGGTAACATACATTAGTTTCTATTGAGATGAAGCAAAAGGTCTCACGACTCGCAAAAAAAAAATCCCAAGGCAACCGTAAAGATACGAGAAAAAAATTTTTTTTTTTTTTTTTGATCCTCTTGATGCATGAGTGTTTTGAACACAAAACTTTGGACAACAAAGGGTTAGCGAATGGTGAAGAACGGTCAGCCATCAATTCTTCTCGAGGCGAAAAATACCCATCGAACCATCACCATTCGTTTGTCATAAGAAAGGCAGGTGGTTGAGTAGAACATTGTTCTCTAAAATAATGCATCGGTCAAGTTCAATTGTATTATGAATAAATAAACAATAATGCAGGTTTTTATAACTATGTTTAAAGAGAAAAAATGAATGAGAATTTAAAATTATAATTCTTATTGAGCTTTAACGGTCCCTGCTTGAAGAATACCCATCGACTCAATGAAAAACAATTACCGTGTATATCAATGATCACATTATTTAAAAAAAAAAATAATAAAAACAGAAATCAACTTGATCACAATGGTATCTATGACAAATCATTTGTGGATTAATTGAATTACAAATACTGTATGTGTACTGTATATTGATGTTTTTTTGATAAATTGCAATTTGTTATAATATTTTTAATAACTTTTTTAATAACTTTTTTTTTTTAAAAAAAAATCACAATATGATATAAACCAATGGATCAAATAACATTCGACATTAAATAACATTCGACATCAATTCTATTTTTATTAATACAATTAAAAAATATTTGTTGATTTAAATAAAGCTTATTATCTAATAATAATAATTGATGACAAAATTATATTTATTAAATATATTGTATGTATATATATTGTGAATTAAAAATAATTGAACAGCATATTGATTTTTATTTTTGTAATATTTCAATAACTAATTGATAAAATATTGTAAGATAAAAATTCATATCAATATATTTAAGAATATAAAAAACAAGATTATTTAATAAAATAAACTCATTAAAATTATTTCAATACTTAGATTTGTTAAATAAAAGTTATAATAACAATAACATTATTATTATTATTATTTTATTAAGTATAAAAAATTATTTAATAATTAATTTAACTTGAAATTAAATTAAAAAATATGAATTTTATATTAAATATTAAATTTTAACAA